ACTTTTTTTAATTCGTAGCTTGTTTGTTTATAACAATTAAGAAAGCTAATTAGCCGTATTTGAATGATAAATGATTAAAGTTTTATTGTACAAAGTTTGACAAAACATTGTCTATGATCATAGTTGTTTAGAAAGCTTTCAAATGTGAAGCTTTAAGTCAGTAAGCTAGAAATTGGAGGAAGGGGGACTTTAAATTATGCTCTCTCAAAAAATAAATATTTTATTCAAAATAGAGCTATAAACTTTACCTTCAGTTGTTGTTGATATATTTTGATGTTTCTTTTTTTACACTTTATGTACTTTTATGTAATGTACTTTTAATAAATGTGAGGCAAAGACTAAGGTTGATGAACATCAACTACTAAAAAGCAGTCAGTAAGACTGCGAAGAAGCTCAACTAGCGAGAGCGCATGAGGAGCACAGCGAAAAAATTTGTAAGTACCTTCTGAGTAAGGCTTTGATCGAAATAAGAGGTAAGGGTATCAAACAAGACATACACGAGGAATCAATATGATCAAAAATTAAGAAACTACGCTGGCATGGTTACATCAATATGATGAACCGAGTAAAATAACTAATGAGGTAATAAAATCCAAAACGTATGATATAATTTGAAAAAAAAGACTGAGAAAATGTATAAACCAAATCGTAGAGACAGACAGAAAAGACGAGGCATATAAACAGATATATTCTACTCTCCAAAATTAACGGACTACCTAAAATTGACCATGATTTTAAAAACTATATTTCTTTTGAACCCTTAATTGGATTTTGATTATTTATTTTTTACATTGTAGGTATATTTGTAATTAATGACTGTATTAATTGTTTTTGAGATATATCAAACGTTTTACCTATATACAGGGTGTAAAAATAAAGTTGTGTTTTTTTATCTAATTTTGCAAATTGCATACATTGTGGAATGTATTAAAAACAAACGCTACATGTCATTAATAATTTGAGATCGCTTCATCCTTTATCCACATTTTAGTAAAAAAATCATCACGATATCTCTTTTAATAAAAAAGTCAAGTATGTTTAAAGCATACCGTGATTTTATCGAATTGTAATATCTCATTAATGCAAGCAGTTAGTTAGGCTATGAAAAAATCAAACAATTTGACAGGACAATTGTAGACTGTCAAACTATTGTTTACATTTCAAAAAATTGTTCTGATATTTTGCGTATGGTAGTTAGTTGACTTAGACTGTATTTCAAGAAATCTAGGAGTATCTCATACTACAATATCACGAGTAATTCAACGTTTTCGAGAAACAATCGACCATACGAGACAGCGTGGGCAAGGAACAGGAACACCACGACAAGATCAGTTTATCAGGCTCGTGCTATAAAAGAACGATTTCTCACAATGAGGTATTTACAAACACAAGTGGCAAATGTTCAAAATATTTAATTTAGTAGAAAGACTATCAAAGGCGTCTTAGATCTTAGATAAGATCTTCATATAAGGATACCAGTCAGAGCATCAGCTTTTAACGTTTACATCAGTGAAGTTGATTACAATTTGCCAGAGATCACATTGACTATGTTGATGACTGGAAGCACATGTTGTTCACTGATGAATCGAGGTATTGCTTATATAGCTCAGATAGACGTATGAGAGTTATTCAACGGCCAAGAGAACGCTACGCACAGTGTAATATACGAGCTGTTACTTTATTCAATGGAGAATCTGTAATGGTTTGAGGAGGAATATCTCTTACAGCGCGAACGAACTTGTGCTTTACGAAGAGGTTCCCTAACAAGTATAAGGTATATTACAGACATTTTGTCTAACCATGTAATTCCATAGTTCCATTTGCTCCTTCTTTATTCTTTGAGTGCCTCCCCTATCGGAGATTGGATATCATTAGGGCGATTCTAATTTTATTACTGCTGGTTTTGAATAATTCGTTAGTGGGTACAGCCAAACCCACTCTCTTTAATTTTTCATCCATGTCATTCTTATACGGCCTGGATTTCTGTGTCCTTGGATTTTTCCTTGCATTATATTTTGTAGGAATGTGTACTTTTGTGCTCTCATTAGAGGCGTATCGTTAACTATTAAGTTTTCTGTTTTTTATGTTTATGTATAACTTCTGGATCGTTTTTTATTCTGCGTATTACTTCTTTATTTGTAATTTTATTCACTCAACTTATTTTTAGTATACGGCGGAGCACCACATCTCAAAACTTTCAAGATTTTTAACATTCTCTGTTTAAGAGGCAGTGCCCAACACCGTCATTTTACGTTTGCTCCTTTATAGGAAATAATTTTCTTTTAATGCATGATAACGCTCGACCACATGTTGCATGGGGTCCGTAAAAATTTAAACGAGGTTGAAATACAAACCATGAACTGGCAACCTTGCAGCCCTGATCTCAATCTCTTAGTAGAATTTGTGGCTTATTATTGATCATCAAATGAGAAGCCGACAACCACCACGTGTCTCTCTTGACGATATAGAAGTTATGGTGAGAGAAGTTTGGGATGTAATTGATATAGACCAAATACGCAGCTTGATTTTAAGTAAGTATACCCCGCCGCTGTGAAGAAGTAATTGATGTAGAGGTGTACATACTCGTTTTTTAGTATTTTTGGGAAAGGGGAATTGTTAAAGATTATTTAGTTTATATTTTATTAGGCTTTATTTGTATTTAATGTCAATAAAGTTTATGTAGAGTAATGTTTTCTTTGCTTTAAATGTTTAAAAACTTGTTACATTAAAGTTTGGTTATAATCTTTGATAATAAAGATATCGAGATAATTTTATTACGAAATCTTGAGAAAGAAATAAATCTATCTTAAAATATTAATAAAATGTAGTGAATTAATTTCTGTGATAGTATCCAAGTAAGACCGTAAGATATGTATCCAAGTGTTGCTACGCCACTGGTAGCAATTAACTACCACTTCTTAAATTCTTTATCATTTCGATCTGCTGTGAATAGATTAAGATGGGTCAATGTGGTCGCCAACATCTGTAGAAAATAGGCACATTTGGAAGAAGAAGACAGCATCTTCAATGGGCACACCATGTATTTAGGATAAAAGGACACGAACTTAAAAAAACTACAGAATGCAATAATACAGTAGTTCTTCTTCTTTTTTTGGCATCATAACCTGGATGGGTCTTTGCCTGTCTGGCTATGTCCTTCCATTCAGGTCTTTCTTGTGCCCTTCTTCTCCATTGTCTTATGTTCATTGTTTTCAGGTCGTCTTCCACGTCATCCAACCATCTCGTTTTGGGCCTTCCTTTTTTTTGCCTTCCTATGGGCTTCCTCCGGGTTGGATAACGTGGAAGACGACCTGAAAACAATAAAGATAAGACAATGGAGAAGAAGGGCACAAGAGAGATCTGAATGGAAGGACATAGCCAGACAGGCAAAGACCCATCCAGGGTTATAATGCCAAGAAGAAGAAGAAGAATGGGCTTCCACTGTAACATTTTTTTGTTGTTTTTGCATCGTTTTGTCTCTGCACATGTCCCAGCCATGACAGTCTTGACTTTTCACGATATCTTACAATGTCATAACCTTCATTTAACTCATTAACTCGTCGTTTCTCCTGATTGTCCATGTGCCATCTTCCTCTTGTACCGGGCCATATACTTTCATCAGTATTTTTCTCTCTTCTTCTTAAATTCTACCTAGGCAAATTACTCATGAAACCCCAAAATGTATTTAAAAGATATTTTTACCCAAAGAATTAAAAAGTGGGTTTTATGTACATCTGTATAGAAATATCGAAGTTGTCCCCGTGACCCCCGAAATTCCCTTGCAATAGACAGGTATTGAAAATCGGAATTTTAAATCAGTATCAAATTGTATTCCAGCTGAGCTGGTCGCTTTTTGTTTTTAGAGATTTATCTCTTGCATTTTAGTTATAGTTACATAGCTTAGAGTTAATTATATAATAATATCAGAAAACGTCCTTAGTTGAAGTGATAATTAGTAGTATATTTAATCTGTTTCAGTGCTTGTGTTTGTAGTGTGTCGTGGACTACTGTATGGCCAGTGATCGGCTATTTTAATATAGAACTTGCGCTAAATTTTGGCTAGATATTAACTTAGTTGTAGTAACAAGCAATTATTAAATTACGTATTGTTTGAACTGTTTGTGTTCTTATTTCCCACGCCAGTGGGTGGTCCTTCGAATTGGAAGTAAAAACAAGACTTAGTACGCTCGAAATGATAGCAATATCGCCATCCTATGTGTTGAACAAAGTACGTTTAATTCTACCATGTAGCGTTTATTTCTAATAAATTCCACAGGGTGTTGCAAAAAAAGATAAAAAAACACAGCTTTATTTTTTTACACCTTGTATACGCGTAAAACGTCAATAGATTTTAGAAACATTATTGCATTGATTTATTAGAAATAGACCTATAATACAAAAAAACATCATCAAAATCCAAACATTCGATTCGTTCAGAAAAAAAAAATAGTTTCAAAACTAATAGTACATTTAAGGTGATGAGTTAATTTTGGACAGAAGTGTATAAATTGTCGAACGACCGAAAAAAAAGCGAAATGTGTCTGTAGAGCAGGAATAAAACTAACAACTGGTTTTCCGACTCCTTGGGTTTAGAAATTGAAATAGCTTTATCACACTATTCACTAAAAGAACAAAAATAGGAAGATCCATTTCTAAAAATGAAATGCCAATATTTTTCCATATTTTCTTTTTCATTAATTATATAAATATTCTTTTTTGGATCCTAATAGAACCTTATTAATCGGTATGAGAGTATACGCCACTGGTAATTTCTGCGAAGTTTTAGTATACACTCTTACACGTAGAGAACGAGCGTACGTGCTGGCTTCCAAATAGCACCCTAATGCGTTCTTTATATATTTTTATTTAAAATTGATACCTACCTTCTGCTTTGGGTCATTTCTGTTGTTTAATATGAATCTTAAAAACAGCTTCCGAAAGGATCTTCAATTGTAATGTCAGTTATAAAAGGTATCGTTAAATTTTATTTTTTTTTTCAGATACCGGCAGACAAAATGGAGAATATAGATTTAAAAAGCACTCAACTACAGATTCTGTATATTCTAGGACTCGATTTGCAGATACAGTTCACGAAGATAGGTAATATTTAGAATTAAATATATTTTCTATATTTTCTTAGAAACAATTCTGTTTCTTTATCAAGTTGATCCATTTTAGTTCGCAAGAAAATAGACAAACTGATTTTTTCTTTCAATTGAACATGAAAACTTCTATAATCTGTTAGTCTATTAGTTAATTTAAGGTTAGCCTCAGCTTTCTAAAGGTTATAAACACGTTTCATAATATTTGAATATAAATGTATTGTTGTAGTGTGCAAATCGCGGTCACCTAAGAAGAAAATTTAATATATATAAAAAAATAAAACTCTGTGAATACAAATTTAAGGCATCAAACGATAATCCTAAGCAGACGTTAAAATTATGTTTAATACTGTTTCTTTCAGCAAACTCAAATGCTAATTTTCTCAGTTCTTTTGCTGTTACGCCATAAAAAATAGTAGCTAAATATTTTATTTGTTTGGCTATTTCAGCTTCTTGTTCGGAGAAAAATACTGATTTTCTACCTAATGACGCACCTTGAAGATTTTTTATTTTTTTTTCTTTTTTGCAATGTCGAAAAAGGACTGGCATATGCTTTTTCTCTTTTTCGCATAGTCATTTCACCATTTCGAATAAGCTATAAATAGTAGCTTTTTCTAAATCATGTTGATCATTTTGCTTACAAGTCGTCTTTTTCGATTCTGTATCTGAATTAAAAATTCCTAAGATTATAATTAAACTTAAATAATAGTCGCATGGGGGTAATACCGGTCAACTGAACCGGCATTGCCCCTGTTGAATTTTTTTCTTAGAATTTTTTACTCGTAAACATGTATTAATTATTGATCTTTAATAAGGAATAGAAGCTAACATCATTATAGTCAGTTGTAACCAATTTTAAGATCTTCAAGTGAATAAAAATGAATTAAAACCTTATATCATTCACCTATAAAAATAAGATCGAAAACACCGAAAACAGGTTAATAAATTTCTATGACAATGGTATGCGCCAACTCAACGCTCGTCGGCAATCTGAATACAGAGTAGTGTAGCGACACGTTGACAGTTATAGGAGGTTACCAGATTGAATAGATTTCGCACAATCGGGATGACCGCCATTACCCACCTGACCGTATTTGCACAGTTTACCCTACTCTTAATCCTATATTATGCTGCTATAATTTTTATGTAATTTTTTTATATAAGTATATAAGTAAGTGTACATGTGTCAATGATCTCAGCAATCTAGACACATTAATTCAATCAAGAAATCAATGTGATATTCAAATACTAATATAATTTCGATAAGTCACCGTTTAAAGTGGTTTCGAAGAACTGTTTACGCACATGCTATCGTAAATGTGACGAAAAATGGGAGTCACACAATTTGGTTTCAGGAATAGTTTTGTTATGGGAGAGCATGACAAACATATTAACCTCAAGACAATTGCACCAGGCGAAATGTCATTATTTATATTTGATTTGAATTGATAAAAATATACTTCAGCAGAAATGACTAGTTAAAAAAACGATCAGGAACGCTATTAAGTAGATGATAATGTATAATAATTAAACAATAAAGAGAGTTTTTTCTAAAATCTACAAACGTGCTTGCCACTGCGCACCAAGAACTCGCGGATCTTCACTATTCTGGAATATTTAATTGCGAATTACAAGAAATATATATATATCTAATCTTCACAGTACGTATAACTTCCAGATTTTTTTAACAGCGCATCGTTGGTAATATAGGGAATCATAAGTAATATGTACAAGGAAAGTAAACACGGATTAAAAACGGGTAGACCTACAATAGACATACAGATTCAAAGAGAAGTAAATCCTTATACAAAATATTAAAGCGATGAGTTGGTAGTACAGAATCAAGACGTTAAGAAGAAGCCATCTTAAGCTGATAGTAAGTCTTTTGTGCAGAGCAGATCTGTCCTGAAAAATTTGACTTGGAATAGATTCAGAATAAATTCAGAAATTTTTTTGAAACGTATTTAAAAAAATTGCGTAGATATTGGATAAAGAAAGCGACATAATGAGATGTTTTATAAAAAGTGTATAAATAAACATTTTAAATTTAATATATTTGTTTTTTTTAGGTCGTGGTGGTACATTTTCTGTCTTCAATGTAGATCTGATGACGGCCAACAATCGTGGAAACCAGACTTCTGGCCAAAACTGTGTCCATACCCCTTCTGTCCTACCTACAGACAATTCACAAGGATTATAACTATAACTCTTATAGGAGTCTTAACGTGGTGTATATTTTATTCTGTAGTAGGTGAAACGGCAGCGCCACCTAATGGGAAATTGTTTCAGTTGATATTGTTAACTATTTGCGCGCATATAGGAGGATGGTTGATGAGCTTAACTACGTTGCCAGCACTAATAGGGATGTTGTTCACAGGATTGTTGTTTCAGAATGTAGGATTTGTAAATATAGATGATTCGTTTTCCTACATATGCAAAGAACTAAGGTAATTTTTTGTAATTGCTAACTTAAAGATATAGATAATTTAATTATTTATTTAATACAGGGGAAAACCCCATTAATAGTTTAAATTATAATATAAAACTTTACTGTTAAGATTCAAAACTTAAAATTACTTATAATATAAAATCTATATTAAAAAATAAGACTAAAAATCTTACATACTAAAAAAATCAAACAAAATATTACAAGAACAAAATTCAACAATCCAAATAATATCGTATCACAAAGCAAGAGATCTTTTTAACAATTAAAGTTATATTGAAAATATCAAAATCGAGAACATTTAATGGCCCCTTGTATCTATCCAGTGGGTTGTGAATACCAAAGGTTGTTCTGTAGAAAGGAATATTGAAAACATTATGGTAACGTAGAGCTTGATGAGGAACATTTAAGTTAATGTGGCTTAATAGGTTTGGTTAATTAATAAATTAATGTATGATCTTACATATAAATATAGCACCTGACATGTCACGACGGTTTTTGAGGGTAAAGATAATTGTTGTTCGATACGGGAATAATCATGATTTTCAATAATAGTAAGGACATGTTAAGCACCTCCTCCTCCTAAGTGCCTTCTTTATTAAGGTTGGCGATCAATATGGCGAATTTCTCTCTGTTCTGGGCTTGATGGATTAAATCATTTCCTGTTGTGTGAGTCCAATCTCTGATGTTTCGGAGCCAGGATTTCTTCTTTCTTCCTATACCCCTTTAACCCTCGATTTACCTTGTAATATTACCTGGAGCAGCTCAAATTCCTTATGGCGCATTATGTGTCCTAGATATGACGTCTTTCTAATTTTGATTGTATTAACCAGATGAGGTCGTGTGTTCATTATTTCCAGTACCTCTTCATTTGTAGTTTTGCTGGTCCAGCTTATTCTTAGCATTCGGCGGTACATCCACATTTCGAATGAATTGAGTTTGTTGACGTCATACTGTTTTAATGTCCAGGTCTCACAGCCATATAGTAGTAGAGACCACACATAACACTTTAGTGTTCTTAACCTTATTGTGATTGATAGCTTGGGGTTGCAGAGCATTTTACGCATGTTCATGAAGCCAGATCTTGCTATTTCAATACGTCTTCTAATTTCTTTTGAGTGGTCTAGCTGACTGTTTAGCTCTCTGCCCAGGTATATGAAGCTTAGGGAGCTCTGAAGGGTGATACCATTGATTTGTATGTTGGGTGTAATTTGTTCATGGGGGTTCTTGTGGAATACCATAATTTTGGTTTTGGAAAGATTAATATCCAAACCTAGTCTGTGACTTTCTTCTGATAGTATGTTCATCAATATTTTTAGGTAAGCATAATATCTGAAAAATTTATGCTAGACTCTTTCTATAGTATCAATATTGTTCTGAAAATAGGATGACCACATAACTGAACAATATTCCAAAATAGTTCTAACTAAGCAACAATACACTAATCTTGTTAAATCAATGGAGAAATACTTGAAATTCCCAAAAACTAAACCAAGAAGTTTAGATGCCTTTATTGAAATAGAGTTCATGTGGTCATAGAAAGTAAGCTTTTTTTTTTTTTTTTTTCGTCTTTATAGAGGGGGGGTCTGGCGTCTTCAAAAGACATCTCAGTCCAGGACGCCGCCTGACTGACCTTAGTGCAGGATTCGTTTTTCGTTCTCCCGGCGATAGTTGCCGAGGTACTTTAAAATGCCCTCTCGTCGCCGAGTCTACGCTGAACGCCTACCTGCTAAACCAGACCCTCCTCTGTCATCCAGCGATCCGGAAGCGGAATGGCCGCTGTAAGGCCGGCATCACTTCCGAAGCACTACCTTTATTCATTCATTCTCCATTCATACACATCCACACTCCTAGTTCGGCATTATTCTAAGAAGGGCATTTCCTCCTTCTCCACAGTCATATAAAGTAAGCTGCTCATCAAAAATATCACTTATATCCCGAATAGAAGAAACATAATTCAGTGGCTGATTATTAATAGTACAGCTTGTTCCAATTCTATTAACTTTACAAGAAAAACTTATAAAACAACATTTTTTTACATTTAAGTGGAGTTTGTTCCGATTGCACCAATTTTGTAGTCAGTTTAATTCATCTTGTAACAAGGCTTGATCTTTTAAGCTATCTATAACTTTCTATAATTTTAAGTCATCTGTCAACATTAGATATTTCCTATTTAGGAAACAGGAAGTGATACCGTTAACGAATATATTTAAAAGAAGTGGAGAAATGTGGCCTTCTTGAGGAAGTCGAGATGTTACTAGGATACTGTTAGACAGATGACCACCTATCTTGACTTCGACTTCTTCCAGACGTAGATTTTTTAATCCATTCAAGAAACCTGACACGATAGCCTACATTAATTAATTTGTCGAAAAGTATTTGGTGATCTACATGATCAAATGCTTTGGAAAAATCTGTGTATATTGCATCTACCTGTTTACTCTTCTATATGAGATAATATATGAGATTGATAGCAAACCAAGTTTGTTACAGTGGAGTTTTTACTATGAAACTATGACGTGATTGATATATTAAGCTTTAACATTACCAATTAAGTTGCTTTGCTATAAAACAGTCAAAGAGCTAGCGATTGCAGATTGTATACAAATGCTACGATAATTTTCAATATTGTCTTTCTAACGGTTTTTAAATATAGGAACAACGTAACTTTCTTTTCGTAAAGAAGGAAACATAGCGGTTTCCAGAGATATATCAAACAATTTAACAAATGGCATTATAAGGGTACAGACACATGTTTTTTTAATAAAAAATGAGACACTCCGTCTGGGCCAGCAGTAAGCTTATTGGGCAGCTAATTTATGCCATTAAAAATATCAGCTATGGTAATCTTAGAAGAACAAAAATTTGTACTAAAGTTGCTATTTATTGGATAAATTGATAGGATACATTTAAAAATGAATTACGGTTTTTTTCTCAAAATATTATTTCTTTTAAAAAATTTTGTTTTTTTCAGAAATGTAGCGCTGGTGATTATTCTTATCAGAGCTGGATTGGATCTTGATCCAAATGCCTTAATGAGGTTAAAATTTTCAGTAATTAAATTAGGTTTGGGCCCATGGGCCATAGAAGCAGGAATGACGGCTGTGTTTTCTGTATATATCTTAGGAATGTCGTGGAGTTACGGAATACTCTTAGGTACGTATATATTTTGTCTTAAGGTGTATTAATCAGCTTCTAACCAAAATTATTTATAACAAAGAAAAACGATAAGTTTTTTATAATAGTAAACTTTAAGAAAATGGCATGTAAAGAACAGCAATTTGTTTAACGTAATTTTTGTAAAAATTAGAAGAGCCAATAAATTGGACTTAATGAGTTTTAATCGTTTCCGTGTCATAAAATATTTTATGCACTTAACTAGGTAAACGGTGTTGAATTTCGATATAAATAAACATTAAGCACATTACCAATAAGTATATTAAAAAAAAGATAAAATTTTTGGTTTTAAAACAATGTTAATTACAATCCAAATAATTTAATTAATCTATCTATCTATTTAAAGCTCTTTTTATATCCAAGATGAGATATTTAGAATATGGGCCCCCCTCTTACTTTATTTTTTCTCTGTCCATTGTGATTTTCATTCTATTTGGACTGGCATGTCCCTTTAAATCATCTGCCAACCTCATTTGTGAGGTTGGCAGATGATTTGAAATGATATGAAAATTTACTCTTTATATCTGTTGTTTTTTCTATTTCATTTTTCATTTTCGTAACATTTTATCTCCAAATATCCAACGGTTACATCTTTCTCTTATGAACCTATTCGCAACATTCGCCTTTCCATAACTTGAGTAATTCGAGTTTTCTCAATGAATGGACTGGGTTTCTGTTATAATTTACCATTACTACTAAATGATTTTTAAAATAACTCTCATGATGTGAGTAGCTAACAACACAAAGCAAGTTTTTTTTGTGGACTGTTAAAATTTTATTTATTTACATATAAACAGTATTAATAGTTATTTTGGTCTTTTTTAGGATCTGTTATAGCTGCTGTGTCTCCCGCAGTGGTAGTTCCTTGTCTTTTTAGACTGAGATCAAAAGGTTACGGGGTAGCTAAAGGAATTCCTACGCTTATTATAGCCATTGCTGGAGTAGATGATGCTGCATCAGTCGCTGCTTTTGGAATTATTAAGAGTATTATGTTTTCCAATAGTTCCCTAACGAATCTTATCATCTCAGCACCTCTCTCTATATTAGGAGGTAAGTACCTGATAAAATACAGAAATGCTGAACTCGTTCCTTCAATAAATGTGGAAGTTCTTGTTAACCTAAATATAAATAAAATTAATAAAATGTATATGACAAATACTGCCCGACGTTTCGGCGCCAAATTTAAAGTCATTATCACGAGGGATACGGTGCCGTTTCCCATCATAAATTTCCCATCTATAAATTCTTTTAAAACCAACTCGACTGTTACATTTTCGTAAACTGAACAATACTGTTTACAATTTACGAGTTCATAGTAACTATTTGCGTAACTAATTATTTTGTAATGTACTATTTCATTTTTCTTGTAAATGGGCTTATGGGTTGTTATGACCCCACCCCTTTTTTTGAACCTATTCTCTATCCTTCCATTGTTGGATATAGGTCTCCCCCAGTTCTCTCCATCTTTCCCTATCTTGAGCTGTTCTTTGCCATGAGGGACCTCCTTGTTTCCTGGTGTTATCTTTTCACCTCATCTGTGGTCTGCCTCTTGATCTCTTTGCAATGTATGGACGCCACGTTCCGATAGCATTGTTCTATCGTCCGTCTTGGAGACGTTCATTGTGTCCAGCCCATTTCCATTTCAGTTTTGCTGCTATTCTATTGCGTCTACTGTCTTTGTTCTGGTTCTGATCCACTGGTTACGTTTTCTATCTTTGAGTGATATACCCAACATTTGTCTCTCCATCGCTCTTTGTGCCTTCGTTATTCTATCCAAATTGGCCTGTGTAAATGTCCACGTCTGTGCTCCGTAGGTGAGCACCAGTATTATACAGGAGTTATATACCTTGCTTCGTAAGTATAGAGGGATTGTTTGATTTTTTAGAACGTAAGAAAGTTTGCCGAACGCTGCCCATCCTATTCTTACTCGTCTTGATATTTTTACTGTTTGAATCTCTCTGTTAGCTCTGATTGCTTGTCCTAGATAGATATACTCATTTACCTGTTCTATTTTTTTTTGTTTGTATTTTTATTGCCTCTTGGTCTTCCGTGTTTGTCATTACTTTTGTTTTGTTGAAGTTAATTTTTAGGCCTTTTTGCAGTGATTTCTTATGAAGTTCATTCAGCATTAATTCTAGTTCTTGTCGTTCCGAGGAGATCAGGAGTATATCATCCGCATATCTAAGGTGATTTAGGTACTTTCCGTTAATACATGTTCCTCTGTTTTCCCAATCTGTTGATTTTATTATATCTTCGAGGGTCAAGGTAAACAGTTTAGGTGAAATTATATCGCCTTGTCGGACTCCTCGTTTAACTTTTATATTATCCGTTATTAATTTGTCGTCCAGAATTACGGTCATGGTTGCGTTTTGGTAAATATCATGTATCAATTGTCGGTATCTTGAATCTATGCTACTATTGACCAGAGCTTCTTCCACCGCCCAGTGTTCAATGCTGTCGAAAGCCTTTTCATAATCTACGAATGCTAAGTACAGCGGAAGGTTGTATTCATTGGTTTTCTTAATTAAGATTTTAAGGGCATATAGATGGTCGATTGTGCTGTATCCTTTCCTGAATCCGGCCTGTTCCACTGGTTGGTAGTTATCAAGTTTATAGGTTAGTCGGTTGTTTATTATTCTTGTGAAGGTTTTATATAGTTGTGACAAAAGGGAAATAGGATGGTAGTTGTTTAGGTCTGTTCGGTCTCTTTTCTTATGTATTAAGATTGTGTATACTATGTAATAATAATATTAATTTATATTAACTATATAAATAATTGTTTTAGGTATTGGTTTTGGTGCTCTATGGGGTCTTCTCTCGAACTTTGCTCCAGAACGACACGACCCCTTCGTCGTACCCTTACGGGTACTGCTGCTGCTGGCTGGCGGTATGATCTCAGTCTTTGGAAGTGAAATGATCGGTCTGGGAGGAGCTGGCCCCTTGGGATGTGTAACGGCAGCTTTTGCTTCAATCTGTTTCTGGACCAAACAGGGTTGGGATATAGAAGACAATCCGGCTGCGACTGCATTCGAAATATTCTGGATGATCTTCGAACCCATTCTATTCGGCATAACGGGTACTGCCATCAAACTTGACCAGTTGGATGCGAGTATTGTGTACTACAGTATTGGTATTATTATCACTGTGGCGGTTATTAGAATCTTAGGGACTATAGTACTAGGTATTGGCTGTAAATTGAATTTGAAGGAGAAGGTGTTTGCTGCGATATCTTTGATGGCGAAAGCTACAGTTCAAGTAAGTAGTTCAGTTTAGTGGTTTTATGGATCTCAGTCATTCTATACATTCTTTAAAAATTAAGTCATAGTTCTATATTATTATGTTTGTATTGCTTACTTACTAAGTATATTTTACGACTGTTAAGACACAATATCTCGTGGTCTGGTTAGAGTACGAGCTAGTACAATTACCATTAGTTTTATAAAGACTAACCTTTTTTAAGCGAATATGTCAAATTTTTTGCGAGATGCAGCCATAATTATATCTTTAACAGCTGTCTAAAGGTCAAGTATTTGAAAACATGATGCATGTGGTGAATGATTATAATAAGGCGTTCGATAAGGTCCGACACAACCGTCTTATACAGTTACTTAAAGAGAAACACATTGACAAAAAAGACTTAAGAATAATAACTCATCTGTACTTTAAGCAAACAGCAAAAGTCAGAGTCGACAGAGAATTTTCGGAGGAAGTAGAGATAAAAAGAGGCGAAAGGCAAGGTTGCATACTCTCCCGCTTATTGTTCAATCTATATTCGGAAGAAATAATTAAAAAATCACTTGAAAATGTAATAATTGGAATAAAAGTCAACGACAGACCCATCAACAATATCAGATATGCCGATACTAATTGTAGAGAATATACAAGATCTACAGACACTTTTAGATAATGTAGTAAATGCTAGTGAGAAAAGCGAACTAACGCTTAATGCTAATAAAACAAAATTTATTACAATTTCCAAAACACAACAACAAGACATTTTAAACATAAGAGGAGTTCCAATAGAAAAAGTAAAAAAATACAGATATCTTGGTACAATTATTAATGAAAATAACGAGTATACAGAAGAAATAAAAATGAGAATTGGACAAGCTAGAGCAACATTTAATAAGATGAGAAAAGTATTATGCAGTAGAGACCTTAGGTTACAACTCAAAGAATATTACGTTCTTATGTGTTTTCGGTGCTGCTGTATGGGGTAGAGGCCTGGACCTTAAAGAAAGTGGTGAGCGATCGACTTGAATCATTTGATCATTTGAAGTCGCAAGACGGAAAGCAGACAAGATATGCAGAAACAAAAAGAGAGCTTATGAAAATGGACAAATAGAAGAAATGGAACAAAATTTAAAAAAAAAACGAAATTAGAGGAGCTTACGAATACCTAAAAAAGATAAAAAGTGGATATAAACCTCAAACAAGCCTATGCAAAGATGAAAGTGGACAAATAATCAGTGACCAACAGAAAGTCACAGAAACCTGGAAGCATTATTTTCAGACCCTACTTGGAACACAAGTAGATATGGAAGATGAAATGGGTACGAACCATGTAGAAGAGAACGAAGTTGAAGTAGAAGCTCCAACCATAGAGGAAGTTCTCGAAGCTATTAAGGCCCAGAAAAACAATAAAGCCCCGGGAGTTGATGAGATTCCAGCAGAACTGTATAAGGTAGGTGGCAACCACCTATCAAGTCATATCCACGCGCTTATCAAAGAAATATGGCAAGAAGAGAAAATACCCGACGAATGGAAGAAAAGTATAGTATGCCCAATCTATAAAAAAGGAGACAAACTCCAATGCAAAAACTACCGTGGAATTTCTCTACTATGTACAGCGTATAAAGTCCTCACGTATATTATAAACCAGCGACTCCAACCACTAGCAGAAAATATTATTGGAGAATATCAGACGGGCTTCAGACGGGGAAGATCGACAATGGATCAAATATTTATAGTCAAGCAGGTCTTGAGCAAATCGTGGGAACACGACATTGATGTTCACAACGTGTTTGTAGACTTCAAACAGGCATACGATTCAGTCAAAAGGGACAGACTATACTATATATTGTCAGAATTAGCAATACCACATAAACTAATTAGACTCATTAAAGCCACAATGGATGAAACTCAGGCATGTGTACGAATACAAAACAACCGGACAGACTTTTTCAAAATCTCGCAGGGACTAAAGCAGGGAGATGGACTGGCACCAACATTGTTTAACCTGGCACTGGAGTATGCGGTTAGGTAAATGCAAACTGGACGAGAAAACCTACTGACCAATAAAACGGTTCAACTGGCTGCCTACGCCGATGATATTAATATTATGAGTAGAACATCAACAGGAGCACAGGAAACATACGCAGAGTTAAAAACACAAACGAAAAGGCTAGGTCTGGAAATTAACACAGAAAAAACAAAAATAATGGTACAGACGAGAAGAAATATAATCCCACAAAACATTATACATGAAGATGACATTGAAACGGTTGGAAAGTTTACATACCTGGGAGTAGAAATATATGCCGATGGAGCAGAGGATGGAGAAATACGAAAAAGGATAACGCAGGCAAACAAAGCTTATTTTGCCCTCTCCCATATATTTCGGTCTAAAAGTGTCCACCGAAATACAAAGATGAGAATATATAAAACTTTAATTCGGCCAATAGCATGTTATGGCAGCGAAGCATGGGTCCTGAAAGAAACATCCAAAAACAAACTCGACACATTCGAAAGAAAAGTACTGAGGAGAATACTAGGACCTGTGAGGGAAAACGGAATCTTCAGAATTCGATATAACAACGAGCTCTATCAACTGTATAAGGAAACACCCCTGTCAGACTTCATTAGAACACAAAGATTGCAATGGGCCGGACATGTGATACGAATGGGAGAGTATAGGCTACCAAAACGAGCACTGAACGCCAGAATGCAGGGAAAGAGACCAGTTGGAAAGCCAAGAAAGCGCTGGGAAGACGCAGTAAGCAGCGACGCACAAGCACTTTTAGGAGTCCGTGTATGGAGAAGAGCAGCCACAGACAGACAAGGGTGGAGGCAAAAATAAAGGAGGTCAAGGCTCATTTTGGGCTGTAGTGCCGTAGAAGAAGAAGAAGAAGATCGACTTGAAGCATTCGAGATGTGAACCTACCGAAGAATATTAAAAATAAGTTGGGTAAACCGAATAACAAATGTTAAGGTCCTCAGAAAGATGACAAAGGAAATGGAAATCATGAATAGGATTAAGATAAGAAAGTTACAGTATCTCGGCCACGTTATGAGAGGGGATAAATATGTGTTGCTACAAACCATAATGCAGGGAAAAATACAGGGAAAACGAAGTATTGGAAGAAGACGCATCTCCTGGTTCAACAATCTGAGAAAGTGGTATAATTGCAGTTCCGTCGACTTGTTCAGAGCTGCAATCTCAAAAGTGAAAATAGCGGTGATGATTATTAACCTCCTTAGAGGAGACGGTACCTAAAGAAGAAGAAGAAGAAGACAAAATAAAGGTCAAACTTGTTTTCAAAAATCATGTGGAATAGAAAAAGAGGAAAAACACAAAATTTTTATACTGATAGAAAATTCTAAAGTATTTTACCATCTGCAAAAACAAGAATAATGTTAGAAAATCAAGAGTGTACGAGACTACATGTGAGGACTGTGACAAATCTTACGTCGGACTTACTAATCGAAGAATCCATGTTAGACAAGAAGAACATCAAAAGAAATGATGAGATAGGACATACAATAAATCTAAACCAAATGACGATGCTAGCTAATACTAAAATTAAATGACAACGTTAAATCTAAGAATCATTAGAAATAGAAAAAATACCAACAGTCTAAACCTAACAGATGATGCTAAAAGGCTTTAAAAAACAGTAAAACACACATTCACACGTTTGCTACTAAACACACACTCACAATACAACACGTACACAAAAACAACAAAAGGCAGTAACTAAACAACCCCAACAAAACAATACAGAAAACAAACCCAAACAGCTCAAAATAGATTATAATAGCTATACCGAAAAATGATTGCCTATACACACATACATGATAATGCTGATAATATTTTGCCATGATGCAAGTAGACCCGCTGAGCTCTCTAGTCTAAAACAAGCATTTATTCAAAACGGTGACTGCGAAACAAGACAGATCAATCTCCCACTCAATCTCAACCCAAAGATTCGAACCCTCATCATACGAAAGCTTTTCTTCCTTACATCAAAGGTGCCACTAACAAAATTGATCATCATCATATAACGGGGGTCCTACGGCGATTGCCGCTTCCCGAATTTCAGCCTCCATCTTTTCCTATCTCTCCAATCTCCCTCTTCTAAGCCTCTAGATTGCATTGCTTTTGTAATTTCTCTTCTCCAGGAATTTGGTGGTCTTCCCCTTTTTCTTCTTTCTGGCGGAACATACATTAAGGCTTTCTTTGGCCACCGCTCCTCCTCCATTCTCATCACGTGACCATACCATTGTAATTGCCTTCCTTGTATTCTATCTGAAAGAGTATCTCTAATTCCTGTACGGTTTCGTATTTCCTCATTCCTGATTCTTTTCATTCTCGATACTCGACATGACCTTCTAAGATAATCCATTTCCACAACGTCTACTTTATCTCGTTCATTCTTTGTCATCGTCCAACATTCGGCACCATATGTGGTAATTGGTTCTACAATTGCTCTGTAGACGCGAAGTTTGGTATGCATCTTTATTTTATTAGACCACAGTAATGAATTCAGTATTCGGATGCATTTTTTCCCTTGGGTTATTCGGTTTTGTACATCTATCTTAACTCTGCCATCTGCTGATATGATGCTTCCTAGATATTTATACTGGTTGCAGCCTTTTATGACTGCGTTTTCAACCCTCAGATCTGTGGTATTTCCTCCAATTTTTAAATATTCTGTTTTGCTTATGTTTACAGTAAGCCCCCATTTGGCATATTCCTCAAATAATTTTCGATTTATATAATTTATATCTTCCTCATCGGTTGCAACCACCACCTGATCATCTGCAAACAACAATGTATACAGAGTTTCTTGTCCCACTTCGATGTCCATAAATCTACATTTATTTCTCCAATTCCTCAATGCTTCTTGGACGTATATTTTAAAGAGTGTCGGTGACAAACAGCATCCTTGCTTTAGGCCTTTAGTGACTTTAAATTCATTTGAGGTTCTGGTTCCAATTTTTACACAACTAACTGCATTTTCGTACAATTTATA